ATATAACAGATATTGATTTGAAGTTATATCTGCATAGTATTATTCTATATATATATGAAAAGCTATGTATAGTACAGAAGAAAATATAAATATAAATTTATGAATAATTTAATAGTTAATTTATCTAATATAATTTGCTCTAAATTGAATAATTATAAGATATTTAGTCATTAATGTCAATAAATTAATATTCTTATATATTTTGAAGCGTTTAAAAAAAAATTATGGATTATCTTTGGAAATACCTGAAATGCCAGATTCAACTATACAAGAAGATGTATGTGTCTTTTGTGCACATCCATCTCAGAATAAGAATGGAATAGTAGAATCACTACTTTGTTGTAAAGATTGTAAAGTTAAAGGTAAAATTTTATTTATTTACATACATTTCTCTTTATATATATGAGTTGTAACAAAATTAATTTTAAACGATTTAAAATAATTTTTTAGCCCATCCAAGTTGTATGGATTATACTCCAGAACTTGCCGCAAGATCAAGAATGGGACCTTGGCAATGTATATATTGTAAAAGTTGTGCAGTTTGTAATGGTTCTGGAAATGGAGTAAGTAAATATTATTGCTCTTGTGTAAATTTTACTTAATTTTTTATTATTTAATTAATGTACAGTACATATAATTTGTAAAATATTTTAAATAATCTAAAAACATGTTTATTAAAATATTCTATAAATACAAAACATAAATCTATACATTTTAATATTTCTTGTTTCATATATCAAAGGAAAATATGTTTACTTTAGTATTGTTATAAATTTATTTATCATTATGATGATGATAACTTTTTAATAAATTACTGAAATGTAGATGAAACAAATAATAGTTGCAATTATTATTATTTAAATTAATTTTAAAAGCTTTATCATTTAAGAATTTTGTGATATATTTATATATCTGTATAAAATTAAAATAAAATAGATTTTTGAAAATAATAATGAAGAAGTAAATTTTTAAAAATTTATATATCATTAATAATTAGCAAAAATCACATTGATCTATTGATAACTAACTATATAGAACATTACAGTATTTATATTATTAGTAATATATTTTCTGATATAATGTTAAAAACTAAAAAAGAATATACAGTAATTATATAAATATGTGTATATGAAAATAAGGAAAACCCTATTTATTATCTCCATTATTAAATAATAATATAACAAGTTTTAAAACTTTTGTTTTTTAATACTTTAATTGATTAGGACATTTTCAATGGTTCTATTTTGGCTTTGGCTATTTTAATCAGTTTTTTGTTTTATTAAATGTTTCTACATTAGTAAATCTTTTTGCCATTTTCTTTTCCATAAAAGTTTATATTTTCTCACATAAATTCTAGAAAAAAAATTAGGATGCCAAAATTTTAATTTTATTTTAGAGAAATTCTATTATATACAGAAATTAAAATGAATGTTGTAATAATTAAATAATTGTAATATAAAATGATAAAATCAATTTAACTTCAATTGTTTTTAAAATTTTTAAATATTTCAACTATTTAAAAATATTTTTAAATAGTTGAAATATTTTAAAAAGTTGTAGTTTAAATATAATACATAAGTTAACTCTAAGTTTAAAAATAGTTTAAGTATTTTAAAAATATATATATTTATTTGATAACAATATAAATTAAAAGTACAAACTTTAAAAATTAAAAAAATTTAATTAATGGCATGATAATATCACATACGTAGAAATCACAAAATTAGAGACATTTTAAATTCTAAATGTTTTAAAGTCAAAAATATATAATTTTGACAACCATGAAGAATATTATTTATGTATGCATTTTTTGTTTCATTAGTTATTCAGATATAAGTTATAATAAGCTATCAGATGTCTTAGCGATATATATAAATATCTATAATTATATTATTTTTTTATATTTTTAAATTAATTAATATTTAATTATTTAAGTTCATGTAATAATTTGAAGATTATATTAAGAAAGTTGAAAAAGACTTCAAAGAATAATTTAATATACTTTTACATGACTTACAAACACTTTAAATACAAACACTTTAAAATGTAATGGTTTTTTGAAATTTGTTTTTAAATATATTTATTAAGTTTATTTTGTTTTAGAGTAACAAGTATTTAAATAATAAATTGAGGATAAACAGCAAAAGTTGAAGTAATCCATTTCAAAAGTTGAGAACATAATAACAAAACAAACATTAAAATGATCACATAACTCTTCTGCCAGTGTGGCTATATCTGTGTTTAATTAATAGTGAAAGAAGACATCATTGCACACTAGACTAGATTAAAAGTTTATAAAGCTAGTGAAACTTTGAGATAGGAAAGAATACTATCATTGAGAAATAGCAATATATTTTTTTTAAATCAAATAATTCTATACCTTTATAAAGATGCTTCAAATCAAAATTTGGAAATTAGGAAAGCTTTTTTTATTGACTATCAAGTTAATAAAAATATTGATTTTTTTATAGTTTTAACATTTATTTTTATATTTTTTAAATTTGTTATAAATTTGTTATACATAAATTTTGAAATATGTTTTAATGCAGGTTATATATTTATAAAATTTTTCCTTGTTTTTGAATAAATTGAATAACTGTTAAATTTCTACAAAGTTTTTATTTTATAAAAATCTATTCTAAATCTACTTTAAATAAATCTAAAATTTACTGTAAATGATTATTTAAGTCATTTTTATAATGTAGATTAAAATTTTTAAAATAAGCAAATATGTAATTTATACTAATAAAAATCTTCTTTATTGGAACTCACTTAAATTGAATATCTGTTTCTATTGTATTTTTGAGAAACCAAACCCATTGTCAATAAAACAGAGTTTTTTATTATTCAAAGAATTTGGAGTTGTTTTCATTATATGTAATTTATTATGCCTTATATATGTATATAATGTACAGTACATATTTGTTTATAGCATAATTTATTTATTTATAATCCTCACAATATTACTGGTGTAGAATTCAATAAATAAATAAGCAATTACCTATAACCAGCATTAATTCTCTTATAAACGATGATGACTTAAAGACGAAAGAAAATTTTTATTTATAAGAGAATTAATGCTGGTTATAGGTAATTATTTATTTATTTTAGAGATTTTTATTTTAAACTTGTAAAAGTTTTAAACAATGACTGTTTAGGATACTAAAATTTCCTTAGTTACAAACAACTGTTGGAGATCTGAATCTGGGACAAAAGTTCTCTCAAAATGTTTTATATGTTCATACTTCTGACTTCTATAATCTTTTGAACAATTGTTTGTTTTATGTCCTATTGTTTAGGATTTAATAAATTTAAAGTGTATTCAAATGAAAAATCATTCATTACTATATAATTTAATATTATATATATTATATCATATGTATTTTCTTATATAAGGCTTTTAAAAATTTATCAATTATAAACTGCAAATAAAAATTTCAGTTCTGATATATTTGTATATCTACTAATGTTATATGAAAACAAAATATGACTGTTCACCATCTTGAAGTATTAAATGAAAAACTATATAAGAAAATTTATTGTAAATTGAAAACAGTTTAGTGACAAGTACTCTTAATAAGCTAAAATTATCAAAAATGCAAATAATTTGAATTTATCAAAAATAATTACCAAGACAATTTTTCAAATAATTTTTTTATATATTTTCTCATTTTAATATTTCAAGACTGAACAGTCATGTTTTACTTTCATCTATGTTATGATGTTATAATTTAAAAATATTATATAAAATAATTATAAAAAATATATTTAAATATATCATGATAATTGTTTATATATCTGTTAATGTTTTATATTAATTAATCTTTGATATTATATCTATTTTCAAATAAGAATGCATTGATTTATTAAAGTGTATTGCATTAATATACATAGGTAATAACACTTTAGATTTTTTAATTTTTCAAACTTTATTCTAACATACCATGATTTGGATTGTTTAGAGTTATATTTCAATAGTTCCAAACTTTGTAATTTTTATTTTTATGTTTATTATTTTTTTAGTTTTCAAAACTGTGGATTTGTTTTGAACTAATAATATTGCTATATTTGATAAACCTCAAATTTTAAATTTAACAGGAAAATCCATTAACAAAAACTTATGTAAGCTCTTGGTATTAAATATTTTTTGTAATAAAAATTGAATCTGAAATTCTGTTATTTTAAAATTATGTACAAGTATGTAGTATGTATTAAAAAATTGAAACTATATATATATAGTTTCAATTTTTTAATACATACTACATACTTGTACATAATTTTAAAATAACAGAATTTCAGATTCAATTTTTATTACAAAAAATATTTAATACCAAGAGCTTACATAAGTTTTTGTTAATGGATTTTCCTGTTAAATTTAAAATTTGAGGTTTATCAAATATAGCAATATTATTAATTCAAAACAAATCCACAGTTTTGAAAACTAAAAAAATAATAAACATAAAAATAAAAATTACAAAGTTTGGAACTATTGAAATATAACTCTAAACAATCCAAATCATGGTATGTTAGAATAAAGTTTGAAAAATTAAAAAATCTAAAGTGTTATTACCTATGTATATTAATGCAATACACTTTAATAAATCAATGCATTCTTATTTGAAAATAGATATAATATCAAAGATTAATTAATATAAAACATTAACAGATATATAAACAATTATCATGATATATTTAAATATATTTTTTATAATTATTTTATATAATATTTTTAAATTATAACATCATAACATAGATGAAAGTAAAACATGACTGTTCAGTCTTGAAATATTAAAATGAGAAAATATATAAAAAAATTATTTGAAAAATTGTCTTGGTAATTATTTTTGATAAATTCAAATTATTTGCATTTTTGATAATTTTAGCTTATTAAGAGTACTTGTCACTAAACTGTTTTCAATTTACAATAAATTTTCTTATATAGTTTTTCATTTAATACTTCAAGATGGTGAACAGTCATATTTTGTTTTCATATAACATTAGTAGATATACAAATATATCAGAACTGAAATTTTTATTTGCAGTTTATAATTGATAAATTTTTAAAAGCCTTATATAAGAAAATACATATGATATAATATATATAATATTAAATTATATAGTAATGAATGATTTTTCATTTGAATACACTTAAAATTTATTAAATCCTAAACAATAGGACATAAAACAAATAATTGTTCAAAAGATTATAGAAGTCAGAAGTATGAACATATAAAACATTTTGAGAGAACTTTTGTCCCAGCTTCAGATCTCCAACAGTTGTTTGTAACTAAGGAAATTTTAGTATCCTAAACAGTTATTGTTTAAAACTTTTACAAGTTTAAAATAAAAATCTCTAAAATAAATAAATAATTACCTATAACCAGCATTAATTCTCTTATAAATAAAAATTTTCTTTCGTCTTTAAGTCATCATCGTTTATAAGAGAATTAATGCTGGTTATAGGTAATTGCTTATTTATTTATTGAATTCTACACCAGTAATATTGTGAGGATTATAAATAAATAAATTATGCTATAAACAAATATGTACTGTACATTATATACATATATAAGGCATAATAAATTACATATAATGAAAACAACTCCAAATTCTTTGAATAATAAAAAACTCTGTTTTATTGACAATGGATTTGGTTTCTCAAAAATACAATAGAAACAGATATTCAATTTAAGTGAGTTCCAATAAAGAAGATTTTTATTAGTATAAATTACATATTTGCTTATTTTAAAAATTTTAATCTACATTATAAAAATGACTTAAATAATCATTTACAGTAAATTTTAGATTTATTTAAAGTAGATTTAGAATAGATTTTTATAAAATAAAAACTTTGTAGAAATTTAACAGTTATTCAATTTATTCAAAAACAAGGAAAAATTTTATAAATATATAACCTGCATTAAAACATATTTCAAAATTTATGTATAACAAATTTATAACAAATTTAAAAAATATAAAAATAAATGTTAAAACTATAAAAAAATCAATATTTTTATTAACTTGATAGTCAATAAAAAAAGCTTTCCTAATTTCCAAATTTTGATTTGAAGCATCTTTATAAATGTATAGAATTATTTGATTTAAAAAAAATATATTGCTATTTCTCAATGATAGTATTCTTTCCTATCTCAAAGTTTCACTAGCTTTATAAACTTTTAATCTAGTCTAGTGTGCAATGATGTCTTCTTTCACTATTAATTAAACACAGATATAGCCACACTGGCAGAAGAATTATGTGATCATTTTAATGTTTGTTTTGTTATTATGTTCTCAACTTTTGAAATGGATTACTTCAACTTTTGCTGTTTATCCTCAATTTATTATTTAAATACTTGTTACTCTAAAACAAAATAAACTTAATAAATATATTTAAAAACAAATTTCAAAAAACCATTACATTTTAAAGTGTTTGTATTTAAAGTGTTTGTAAGTCATGTAAAAGTATATTAAATTATTCTTTAAAGTCTTTTCCAACTTTCTTAATATAATCTTCAAATTATTACATGAACTTAAATAATTAAATATTAATTAATTTAAAAATATAAAAAAATAATATAATTATAGATATTTATATATATCGCTAAGACATCTGATAGCTTATTATAACTTATATCTGAATAACTAATGAAACAAAAAATGCATACATAAATAATATTCTTCATGGTTGTCAAAATTATATATTTTTGACTTTAAAACATTTAGAATTTAAAATGTCTCTAATTTTGTGATTTCTACGTATGTGATATTATCATGCCATTAATTAAATTTTTTTAATTTTTAAAGTTTGTACTTTTAATTTATATTGTTATCAAATAAATATATATATTTTTAAAATACTTAAACTATTTTTAAACTTAGAGTTAACTTATGTATTATATTTAAACTACAACTTTTTAAAATATTTCAACTATTTAAAAATATTTTTAAATAGTTGAAATATTTAAAAATTTTAAAAACAATTGCAGTTAAATTGATTTTATAATTTTATATTACAATTATTTAATTATTACAACATTCATTTTAATTTCTGTATATAATAGAATTTCTCTAAAATAAAATTAAAATTTTGGCATCCTAATTTTTTTCTAGAATTTATGTGAGAAAATATAAACTTTTATGGAAAAGAAAATTGCAAAAAGATTTACTAATGTAGAAACATTTAATAAAACAAAAAACTGATTAAAATAGCCAAAGCCAAAATAGAACCATTGAAAATGTCCTAATCAATTAAAGTATTAAAAAACAAAAGTTTTAAAACTTGTTATATTATTATTTAATAATGGAGATAATAAATAGGGTTTTCCTTATTTTCATATACACATATTTATATAATTACTGTATATTCTTTTTTAGTTTTTAACATTATATCAGAAAATATATTACTAATAATATAAATACTGTAATGTTCTATATAGTTAGTTATCAATAGATCAATGTGATTTTTGCTAATTATTAATGATATATAAATTTTTAAAAATTTACTTCTTCATTATTATTTTCAAAAATCTATTTTATTTTAATTTTATACAGATATATAAATATATCACAAAATTCTTAAATGATAAAGCTTTTAAAATTAATTTAAATAATAATAATTGCAACTATTATTTGTTTCATCTACATTTCAGTAATTTATTAAAAAGTTATCATCATCATAATGATAAATAAATTTATAACAATACTAAAGTAAACATATTTTCCTTTGATATATGAAACAAGAAATATTAAAATGTATAGATTTATGTTTTGTATTTATAGAATATTTTAATAAACATGTTTTTAGATTATTTAAAATATTTTACAAATTATATGTACTGTACATTAATTAAATAATAAAAAATTAAGTAAAATTTACACAAGAGCAATAATATTTACTTACTCCATTTCCAGAACCATTACAAACTGCACAACTTTTACAATATATACATTGCCAAGGTCCCATTCTTGATCTTGCGGCAAGTTCTGGAGTATAATCCATACAACTTGGATGGGCTAAAAAATTATTTTAAATTGTTTAAAATTAATTTTGTTACAACTCATATATATAAAGAGAAATGTATGTAAATAAATAAAATTTTACCTTTAACTTTACAATCTTTACAACAAAGTAGTGATTCTACTATTCCATTCTTATTCTGAGATGGATGTGCACAAAAGACACATACATCTTCTTGTATAGTTGAAATATGTACTGTACATTATATACATATATAAGGCATAATAAATTACATATAATGAAAACAACTCCAAATTCTTTGAATAATAAAAAACTCTGTTTTATTGACAATGGATTTGGTTTCTCAAAAATACAATAGAAACAGATATTCAATTTAAGTGAGTTCCAATAAAGAAGATTTTTATTAGTATAAATTACATATTTGCTTATTTTAAAAATTTTAATCTACATTATAAAAATGACTTAAATAATCATTTACAGTAAATTTTAGANTTTTAATATTTTTATTTATTTTTCTCATATACTGTATATCTTTTTGTTATTTGTTCATTTTACTGTTTGGAACACCAATTTAAGGTCTGTATGTTTTTTTAGAATATATGTTATATGAAACAATACATTTTTTGGTTTTTGAAAACTGAAGAATGCCTACTAATAAGACCAAAAACGTTTTTTCATATTAAATATTGCTGGAAAGTGAAAAGGTGATTTGTGTGAATTTGTTGAATAAATATTTGATTTCATAAATATATTGTCTAAACTATTTATTTTAGCACTATTATTATACTTATGTTTCAGTTTCAATTTTAAAGTTGAATGATTACTGGATTAAATTGAGCTACATTAGTGCTACTAATAATTATTAAATCCCAAGTAATTTGGCACTAGAGATAGGCATTAGGCATTATCTCTTATTAAATTTAACAATTATAATAGAAGAAAATTCTGGAAGAAAATAATAGGCCCAGAGCAGGACTGAAACCTGCAATAGTTACTTAAATTAAATATATTTGGAAGTGAATGATTGGATGGAGGTCTGGTCCTGCTGCTTACCAATTGGATACATTGCCAATTATAGTAACACATCCATATGGTAAGCAGCAGTTATGGGTTTGAGTCCCGCTCTGGACCAATTCTTTTCTTCCTGAATTTTTAAAATTATTTAATAAATAAAATTTCTTATTGATCGGTTATGGGCTATATTATTTAAATATATCTATTAATTAAACTGAGACGATTATTAATAAACATTTTAATAAAAAGCCCATTGGCTATGTTCGCTTCCACGTTTCTCCATTCGGAAGCGAAGTTTACTTCACATTTTCAATACCAGATGGCGCGTTTAGAATTAGGTCGCAAATTTTTTTCCTTTAATATAAAAAAATTGCGGAAACTAAAATATAATCCAAAGAGGATAAGACTAATCGGCCAAAAGTAAATTAATTATTGCTAAATCAAAAATAAGGAAAATGAAATAAATCGTGTATTTTTCCAGGTACTTATCGGATGAAAGCCATTAAACTTTGTTCGCGTTCCAATTTGTAGTTTTGATTCGGAAAACAGTCGCGATTAAGAGTACTTAATTAGTTTAGGAATGACAAATTAATTGATCTGCGTCAGATACAATTACTATCCGAAAAAATCGATAGAGCAAATCAAATTGTCTAATTACAGTAAAATTACTTCAATTTAAACACACATTAATTTAGATACCGAATATATAAAGAACGATTTAAAANGCAAACAATTTCTTCAATTATTTCATTATTTTAATAATATAAAATATAATGATCTTATTAAACTAAAAGATAAAAAGAAAATTAAAAAACTTTATTTAAATTTTATTCAAAGTAATAATCTTCAACTTTGTAATCTTCACAAATCTCAAAGGAACTTTTAATAAATAAAGAAAAATGCCTCTATTATATAAGCAAAATGTTAATAACATCTTAAAACATTTACTATTATTTCTAAGAATTAATGCATTTCATCCTTAACTTTACAAAGATAAGAAAATAAAAAAAGGAACAATTATGCATTAATAGTTATAGAACTGAAAAATTCTAATACTTTAATCAATACAATGTAATTGTTACATATTTTCTTACATGAGTAAATCTTTTGAGAATAAAATATGTTAATTTCATAAATATTTTAAACTGCTTTTATTTCTAAAATCTAATGTTGTCTGTCAATAAAATTATTTATGCNAACGGAATGTAATTCAAAAGCATTACGCTAGTAATTCGTCTCTACAGTTTAATCATGTATACATTTTAATTCCAAAAAATTTTTTCTTCTTTAATCGCATAAATAAATATCGAGTAAATTCATTTTATTTTCTAAAAACTCCCGACAAAATTCATAAAAGAAAATATATATATATAAAAAAATTAGATCAATTTCAATTTTAAACGAAACATAAAACTGTTTTCAATTCCATTCTCCGAAGATTATTATCCGTTGCTTAGCAACTAAGAGTTGTTGATTCCCAATGTCATTTTCTTAGTTTAGAAAAATAAAAATACCATCGCTTGTTTCATAATAAATAGTAAATACTTTAAGAAACTAAATTATTTTCTCTCGAATTTGTATCATTTCGAGAAGACCGCGTTCAAAGTAAAAATAAATAAAAAAATCGAATTTTTCAACAAACTAAAAATTTATACATTCGAAAATATACACAAGAGCGAAAATAACATATAAAACAGTTTAAAAAATGATTTTTTTAAAACAATTTTCCAAATTTGGCAATAAACCTTGTTAAACTTTCCTATTAGCTCCAACGCCCCCTTCTTTTTTATTCTACAGCACCAAAAAAAAAAATTTAAATCGAACGGCGAATTTTCTTTCTTTTTATCATTTTTGTTTTTTACTTTCGATTAATCACCGTACTCGGTAGAGATCAATTATAAAATCTATATCGCTCGGTTTGTGAGTAAATAAAACAAAATGGTGGATGATATATCTTTATGTGACGTCACGCGCACATGCTCATTTGTGGCCCGACAGTCCTTGAGAAGTAACGTCGTGTTGTTTACAGCTACGCGTTCGCCAAAGGAAAAGGGGAAGGAAAAGTAAATGAATATCTAACGCGTTTTTATATCTTTCCATCCGCAAATTTTCATAAATAGTAATTTTTTGTATATTTAAATTGTATTATTCATTTAATTAAGCAATTTTCAAATATTATCATTGATTTAAAAGACTTGAAAGCAAATGACTAGGTTCCAATTAAGTTTTTCTCGATTATCTAGATTCTAATCGCTTCAGTTAATTGGTAAATAATGTTTGAACAATTATGAATAGCTTTTAAATGTAGCAAATTGAATAGAGAATTTAATATCTCTCTTTCTATCATTAGATACGTATATAATTGCTATCATTTCAATATACGGTGATACGAAAATCCAAAAAGATGGAAGAAAAAATTAAATTTTTAACGAGTAATAATTTTCTAACTCCCAAGGTCATTCCAAGCTCGATTTCCGACAGCTGCGGAGTTTTTGAAGACGTCACTGCACGCAACCGGTAAACGATCGTTATTATTACCACATTACCAATTTATCAAAAAATATTAAACTACGTAATGGAGGGAGAAAAAAGCTATATTTATTAATTTTGATCATTACATAATACAAAGTCATCGAAAACAATAAAAAAACGGATTTCTAGAGAGAGAGAAATGCAATTGAATATAGAAATTTCGCCAGCGCAAAAGGCGATATAAATCATAATTTACGCGACAGTAATTCGAAAATAAAACGTTTTTCGATATCAAATAATAATATATTATAAAATTTTTATGTTGCTTGATTTCTTCAAATAATTTATTTCTTAATAAAAAGTAATTTTTTTTTCAATATATTAAATGATTATAAAAACCGACAGCGCACTTCATAATTTTTAACGAGTTTCGACGTTGCAATTTTAATTACTGACATTTTTTTAAATATAGATATATATATGCAAAATATCTTTATTTACAGAACATTGAACAAGAACTTCAATATCTTTAAAATGCATGGTCGAACACAAAGGTTCTTTCCGATTCTCGGCAAGACTACCAGAGCGAAACCAAGTCAAAAGTGAACGATCACAATTCTTTTTTCTTTTTTATATTATTATATTCGTCCAAAATAATTTAAACCTATTTGAATTTCGACATTACAAAAAAATAAAAAAAAGCAAAATTGCATTTCAAATCATATGGAAAAAAATCGCATTTTAAATTTTTATAACAGCAACCATGGAAAAAATTTTGTCATTTATTTTCCCCTAAAAGCGAGTACGTGAACAGCGTGTAAAAACTCTTTTGCGCATGCTCTGCGCTTACTAATAATGGAAAGTTGTAAACCGGGAATTGGTGGAATTTTTTTTACAAGAGGAAAGATTTTTAATTAAAAGTTTAACAAATTTGCTTTTATTTTTCTTGCGGTGATAATATAGATTATAGTTCTATTTTTATAATAATTATTCGTGTATTTCTCCCATAAGAGAAAAGCCGCATGGCTTAATTATTTAATAAATAAAATTTCTTATTGATCGGTTATGGGCTATATTATTTAAATATATCTATTAATTAAACTGAGACGATTATTAATAAACATTTTAATAAAAAGCCCATTGGCTATGTTCGCTTCCACGTTTCTCCATTCGGAAGCGAAGTTTACTTCACATTTTCAATACCAGATGGCGCGTTTAGAATTAGGTCGCAAATTTTTTTCCTTTAATATAAAAAAATTGCGGAAACTAAAATATAATCCAAAGAGGATAAGACTAATCGGCCAAAAGTAAATTAATTATTGCTAAATCAAAAATAAGGAAAATGAAATAAATCGTGTATTTTTCCAGGTACTTATCGGATGAAAGCCATTAAACTTTGTTCGCGTTCCAATTTGTAGTTTTGATTCGGAAAACAGTCGCGATTAAGAGTACTTAATTAGTTTAGGAATGACAAATTAATTGATCTGCGTCAGATACAATTACTATCCGAAAAAATCGATAGAGCAAATCAAATTGTCTAATTACAGTAAAATTACTTCAATTTAAACACACATTAATTTAGATACCGAATATATAAAGAACGATTTAAAAATAGTTTAAATTAAAATTTTATTTCTGTAAAAGTCGTCATCGGAAAAAATAAATATCCTTACAAAAAAATTCGTTTAATGAGTAAAATAAATTTTAATTTAGATACAATTTGATTAACTATTAATTTCTAAGTTTAC